TCTGGTCAGTCTGCCTGTTACCGTACACCATCACAGCGTTACAGTACTCGAGAAAGGATAAAAACTGCGATGTTTCTGAAGTAAACGCTGAGGCCGAGGGGCCAGGCTCAAAGGCTGACGGTTATTTTTTGTCTACCGCCTGCTTCCTAAGCCCGTCTTTGGAGTGCAGGTTTCCAGACAAACCGGGACTGGCAATGCAGTCCGGCTGATGTTGCTGAAGTGCTTTGAGCCTGTGTGTGACGGGGAGGGAGACTCCCCGTCTCTGAAGGGTTTCCCTTCAGTGCTCGGCACTCGTCCCGCTCTTGAAAAGCTTGCGTTGAGCCTTGTCTCGAGTTCGAGCTTAGTGTGGAGCGATGGACTCCAAGGCCTTGTGGTGGCTGCGGGGGGGCGACTGCTGCTTTTTAGGCACGCTCGTCTTTGCAGCACGTAAAATAAGACCACCCTGCTCTACGACTAAAGGTATCTGAGGTCACTTTCTGTGCTGTGCTACTCGATGGCATCGCGCAAGGCAAGGTGTGTGCCACAGAGCAAGCCAAGTGTGAACGCAGAAAACTCGGAACCGCTGAAATACCGCTGATGTCTTTGCAGGGATGTCCAGATCGGGGATATTGTCACCGTGGGAGAGTGTCGTCCCCTCAGCAAGACTGTCCGGTTCAATGTCCTCAAAGTCACAAAAGCTGCTGGTACCAAGAAGCAATTCCAGAAGTTTTAAAAACAGCGTAAGGAAGATACGCGGGGCAAATAAAAGTTTTGTAAAAACATACCCTGTGTCTGTAATCTGAAATAAATTGCGTGGGGACGCAACAGCGTGTGCGGAGTCATCGGACTACGGAAGTGGGCGAGATGAGCGCACCTCTTGCGGAAAATGCGAGAGTGTTACGCAGAGACTGGTGCAGATATTCCAGGTTTTCTGTTCAGAAATTACGAGAGTTTGGGTGAGGGAGAAGGAGCGAATGTTGTGCCTTCGATCAAGTGCCACAGTCCCCATCTACGGAGCTGGCGCGCGACCTGACCGGTACCGTGAGCCGTCCGAGGTGTGGCGTAGCCAGCCCCCACACAGCCCGTGCATCGCTCTTCTCCCAGGCTTTGTATTCCAGGACAGGCTGAAGACAGATTTTTAATGTGTGGAGAACCCGGGCGCGGTAAAGAAGGGAAAGGGGACACACTCGGACTGCTTTTAGTTACTTTCTGGAGAGTTCTTGGGGCTTTTAGCTATTTTCTGGAGAGTTCTTGGGGCTTTCCAGTGCGATACTGATTTCTGGTACGCCATTTCACCCCTCCCCAGCGCAGCCGCAGGCGGGAACAGGTTGGAGGTTGCGTGGTAATATGGTTTAGAATGATGTAGGAGCTTTTAGTGATAACAAAGGCAGTTGTGGCTATAAAGATGTTTCTCAGAAATCCTAAATGTGTATCTAAAGAGAGATGCCATGTGGTGTTTCCACACACAAGGTGTCCAAGCACATTTTTACAAGGGCTGTGGTGCGTCGGCAGCTGAAGGGAGTGGGAATTAATGCTAAAGAAACTGCTCTTGCTGCAGGTTTTTTTTAGAGGCGATAGTTCCTTGTGGTTCCAACAGTCACAGGAAACCCAGTAAGCCCTTCTGTAGGAAACCGATCCCGCGTTCGGGGGAAAAGCCGGGAGGGAGCGATGGCGTGACCCAGTACGGATGAAACTCTTGTCGTGGAGCAGCAGGAGAGGGTGTATGATGAGAACCAGAGGTGCAACGGTCAAAATTCAGTGTTTTAAGCCCGCGTAGCTCAGCTGGCAGCATTACCTTAACCCAGGGCTGGCTCTGGCAGCGTTGCCGGTTGAGTTAATGCTGGAAAGGGCTGTGGGAGCGATCTGGTGCCCCACAGCTTGCAGAAGACGCTGCGTCGTGGTGACTTCCGCATTAGCACGCGTCTGGCTTGCGAAAATTTAGTGTTCGTGTGAGAGCTTTTGGTTCCTGCTGCCTCGTCCCTTTGTGGCAGGGATGTCTGCTTACGTCTGGGGGGAATTCAGTGGGATTTGGGAAGAGTGCTCGCTCTGCGGCAGGCATTACCAAAAAAGCCAATCTCTTGTCAGTCCCGTGGAGTGAAGATAGGGCCCAGCATTGCATGGGTCTTTGTACCTAGATATTTTTGTTAGTGCCCACTGATCAGAAAGCTTTTAAACTCTGGGTCAGCTTTCACTAGGATACGAGTGAATGTTTTCGGCAGCAGCCGGGTCAGATGGCTTCTCCCCGTCTGTGCGGGAAGGGCCCTTCCTGCCAGGCTTCCCAGCAGCCTTCCCCTCCTTCTGCGGGGCTCTGCCCGAACTCTTTCTCTCTTTATTTTGACGGGTATGTATCAAACTGAACCGGCCCGGTCTGTCCGGGTGGCTATTTGCGATGCCTGCACGCAGTCGTGCTACGGCTGTTACCTGTGGGGACCCTCAGACGAGGCTGCTGGGGGGTTGTCCGCGTGGGGTTGTGGTGCCCGGAGGTTTCCCTGCCTAAATCCGCAAGCCTTGTGGGGAAGCTGGGATCGGGGCTGGGGGAAGAGGAGGAGCAGGGGCCCAGCTGGTGGTACAGGATCCCGGCAGAGCTCCGGACCTGACATGCCCGCCCGGGCTGGGGGATGTCGCAGCTTCGCTGGTGTGTCGGTGCTGGAGCAGCACGTGCGTCAGCTCCTCTGCTCTGTCACCCGGAGCTCAGCTGTGCCGTCCGCCTGGGGCAGGGCGAGCGGGAGGCAGCAGGTCGTGCCAGACCGGTGAAAAGGAGGTGGCCGGTGCTTTCCAGAAGTCACTGAGGCAAGGGCTGAAATGGGTCAGCCATGGAGCAAGCGGGGGGAGCACCTCTGGAGGCACATCCCTGGGTGCCGAGGAGTCAGGCAAGAGCCACATATGGGAGGGCAGCAGGAAAGGTGGTGGTCTCCCGGGGGGCTCTGGGGTGCAGGAGGGCTCGCAGTGCGGCTGTCTGGCAGAGCGTTGGCCTGGCTTTGCCCCTGGCCCGGGCAGCTCCTCGGGGATGGCATCACCTGCGGCTGTGCTGAGAAGGTGCTGGGCACCAGCAGGAGCCCGCGGCCCTGCCGTGACCTCGGCTGAGGGATGCCTCGGTCACTGCCTCCACACCAAGCAGATCTAGGTAAAATGCTGATTATTCACCACTTCCACGGACAGCGAGAATAACTCTGGAAGGTCTGTGTCCCGCTGGCGTGCTGTAGCAGCTTCCCCAGCGCAAGTGCTCCCTGGGGATCCAGTGTTCAGTGCGGCTCTGCTTGCCGACTCTTGGCAAGAGCACGTCAGCTTCTGCCGCTGCAGGAGTGTGTAACCTGTCCCTTAGAAGCTCTTGGAGGAGAGAAACCATGCAGCTTCCAGCTTGCTCAGAAGTGCTGCTGTCGAGCAGAGAGGGTCTCGCTGCCCTTCCTCCATCTCCTGCCCAGCAGGTTTCGCTCACTAACCAGGCAGAAAACAGCCAGCTTTTCTTCTCTCCAGGTCATTTTCTGCTGGTTCGGTGAGTTGAACCAGAGCAGCGAGAGGCGAGAGAGGGGGCCTGGCCTGGAGCTGGGGGGAGTGGGAATAAGTGGCCTCGTTGTTAAATCTGCCCTCCCCCCTTCGTTAGTGTGGCTGTGTTTGATGAGGAGGCAGCTTGGCCACTCAACCAGCAGCTCCCCGATCCAGAAACCTGCTCCTCCCTCCTTTCATGCACCCGTCGGTGGCTGGAGGAGCCTCCGCTCACCGGGCTCTCCGTGTCAGTCGTCACACCAAAGGTATTCGACTCGAGAGCTGAGTGGGACCCGTGCACTTACCTTTGAAGAGATAAAGCTACATTGTTAGTATCCCCAAACCTCTTCTGGAAATCCTAATTACACCTTCCAATCAGTCCCCAGTAGGCCTGCAGGCCGTCCAGTTTTGAATGTTTTCACTGGGGCTGGTGTCTGCTCTGAGGTATCTTCAAATCAACAGAAAGGCTCAGGGGGAAAAAATTTCACTGCTTTCACTGTGATGGATTATGAGGCAAAATTTCACCAGGGTTACAGTGAACATGGTTAAAGGTTTTAAATGAGAGCTTAACTTAGCCGCACTCCACATGAGGAACCTTGTTGTCTTTGGTGGTTTAAAATAAATGGCTCCTTTTGCTTTCAGAAATTATGAACATTTGAAAATTGCACCAACGGCGTCTCCAATAAACGTTCTCATTAGCTGGAGCGGAGGCACACGGTGTTGGTCTGTTCTGAGGACGGAAACCCTCCATCGCCACCGCTCATCCAGACAGGCACAATGAATACTTGTGATGGTGTCTCGAAAGCAGCCCTGCGCTGCTGGTGAGGCCACGTCTGGGCACTGGGTGCCGTTCGGGTCCCCCAGCGCAGGCAGCGAGAGGCTGGAGCAGACGAGGGGCCCTTCCCACCTGTGTCAGGGTGAGGGGACGGACCCCAGGGCAGAGCGGAGGGGCAGTGGGATGAGCAGCCACCAGCCACGGCCCCCGTTTAAGCCACCAAGAGATGACCCGTGTCGTTAGCGGTGAGCTGGTTTCGTTTGGATCCCACGTACAGACACAGAAAAATCTCGTACACAGCTCAGCCAATGAAGCTTTAAAAGTTGCTAACAGAAATTAATGCTTCAGCCTGGTTTTAATGGAAAATAGATCCTGGCCAATTAACTTCTGGAAAGAGTTTTATTTAGCAATTGCATAATGTTGTCATTAAAAATGTATCAGCAAATCACAGAGTAAGTAGGTTACAAAGTGAGTAGATTTCCAAATATATCTGTTAATTGATTTAAAATATTAAATAGTTTGGAACTAAGGGTCTGTCCGGATCCTAGCAGAAGCTGCCCTGCTGGGTGAATATTGCCAGTTATCAGAAAAGGAATGTGAAATCACCACTGACGAAAGCTGTGTATCTTCCCCAGGCAGACAACTGCTTGTCCGGCTGTTCCTGAAACCTGCTGCCAGGTTGTACCCGCGTTACGAGATCCATGCCGCCAGGGAACTCGCAATCCTGCGGCTCTCGGCATCCCCGGCTGCATGAGCAGGGACGGCCTGCCGGCAGCGGGGCAGCTCTACCGAGCGTGCATGGCACGTGAGGGCATCGCTGGTGGAAATGCCCCACAAAGTGCTTTGGAAACCTGGTGCAGGTTCAGGGAAAACGTGCAGAAGTGGGTTGGAATGGAAATCGTCTTGGAGTTGGAGCTGAGAAGCCAAACTGCTTAGCTTAAACACAAGGCGGCTGAAAACCGGCTTGATTCAGTCCTCATGTTCGTACACGGGGAGAGTATACCTGACGCTGCAGTCACGTGCCTTCACCTCGAAAAGTAAGAAAAATCAGTTATGATTGTGAGAAACCAAGGATGGGGGGGAAAAAGACTTTGAACAGCTTCCCTCAGGGGCAGCCTCTTGTCGCACGAACTATTTTAGCTCGACTTCCAGTCTGCAAACCAAGACTCAGTCTGGCTCAGCCCGGGGTCCTGGCTCTGGGCACAAGACCCACGAGCTGCTCCCGGGGGCTACCCGGTGTCTGCCCCCCACCTCCCCCTGGCCGCGGTGTGTGATGGGCACGAGAATTGCTGAAAATGGCCTTGGAGGGATCCTTCCCCAGCAGCTGGAGGTTCAGGACTTTTCCTTCACCCTGATATGATCGCAGCAAACGTGCTCGTGGTTTTCAAACTCACAGGCATCAGCCTGCTGGCTCACATCTTCAAGGCAGCATCCCTTAGGGAGACGGAACTGGTGCTTAATAAAACCAAGCAGATGTTACGACTGCAAATATAAGAGCGAGGTGTTGCACCCGCGTCGCGACAACC